TCCTTCGGACGCTGCCAAGTTCAACTTGGTAGCGGAGCTCATGTGTTGCTCCTGGGTCAGTGGTTTCGGATGCCGCTTCTTCTTCTGTATGCTCACGGTCATGACTGCAATTGTCACTTTCTTGTACGTGGAAGGCAGCAAACCGTGGGAGTCATACATACAAGCGGAATCTGATGCCAACGCCAGCGATACTCCGATCTTTGACTTGGATGAGCGTCATTACGAGGGATCTACAGAATCCGAGGGGAATTCAGCGACTTCAACATCGAAGAGAGCGCAAGGCGAGTACAGGAATCTTGAGTCAGACATCCGTCTTGAATACACTCTGCAGCGTTTGACACATGTTCTTGATGAACTGGATGAACAGCTGGAGGGACGCGAATTGTCGACTCTAGATGACAGCCACCACGCAAGGTTCGTCGACCGAAATGCCGAGGGACTCTTTCGTGTCTTAGGCTCTACGGGAGCCGAGGATACGGGAGTGCACACCCGCAGTTTGGTCGTCGAGCCGACCCATGACGAATTGATTCTGGACTCGGACGTAACGACGACGAGCAGCGACGAAAGCCCGCGGAATTTGCAGATGAAGTCTGCAATGCCCAGCGTTGTTCCCGTTTCCCCCTTAAGCCCTAGTGGTTTAGTTCCCAGTCCAGATAGTATTGGTTTAAGCGAGGAGTACGGTTTCAGTTCACACAAGCCAGCGTCGCAGTTGCCTGGGATTGGTTCTAGTGGTTTAGTCCCAGAAAACCTCCCTAGTGGTTACCTTAATGCCGAGAACCCTAAACCTTCCGCAATGCTGCCGAAGCAACGGGCCAGCCAACCTGGCACAGAGGCTGCGGCCTCGCAAGGTGGAGATTCCACCTCTGGTTTTAGTGGTTTAGTCCCGGTTCGCCTCCCTAGTGGTTCCTTTGACTTAGGTCCAAGAAGCGCGAGCACCCGCACTGATGATCTTCTGGATACATTTGTTCAGCAACATGTACCCCTGAAATTCCGTCTTGCTGTAAACGCCTTGGTGCATCGTTTGCCTTACAGGTTTGAAAGGTCTGAGGATGTAGTGAGCACCAGTGTGAGCACTTCGGTTGATGCAGAAGCTTATGCGCGTGTGAGTGATTTCGGAACGCCTTTACCGGAGTCACATACTGTAGGATCTCACTATAGGCGAACCCAAGACAAGAATATGCACCGTCGTAAATCGGATGTTGATCGCAAGTCTCGCAGGAAAAGAGCGAGGCGATTGAAATCGAGTCGGCAGGACGGAGAGCAGCATGTTTCCATTGTCAAGATTGTCGGTTGGTTGTGTCTAGCGTTCGGTGTGGCAATGTTGGTGCACATGAACCCTGGTTTTCACCGAGGACACAATCATGGAGGTAACCAGCCTAGGCAGCATGCGCACATAGGGGACGCCGGACCTCCGTACGTAGGTACAGCGACCTTAAAGGTGCCGCCGGCTTGGAGTTGTGAACGTAACCACCACTATTCCCTTAGGTCGTGGATCTCCGATCTAGTGTTGTGGGCAAGTGCCACCGACGTTGAAGCTGCTAGGCAAGGAGCGATAGCAGCCATGCAGATCACTGGCTCTGCCAAGGAATTGGTGAGAGAGATACCGCCGGAACAACTGGCACAAGGAGTATGGGATCAGCAAACTGGTCAGCAGATCACTGGGCTGATGCTTCTTGTCACGACATTAGCTCGTCGCTATTCACCACTGGACGGTGAGGCGCAGACGAGAGCAGTGTCGGATTTCTTGAATTTCAGCCGATTGCCCGGCGAGAGCATAGATGCTTTCCTTGTGCGATTTGATGTCTTGAGGAATCGCGCTGCAGTGCGCGGTGGTCTGGGCGTAAATCATCAGGGTTTGTCTTGGTTGCTTCTTAAAGCCGTAGGCGTGAGTGTAGATCAACTTGACCGGTTGTTGCAGCCTCTGAACGGTAACCTTCCGCAGGACGAAGCGCAGCTCTTGCAGCTGTTAGAAAGGATCAGACGGCAAGGTCACTTGTTCGAAGGTTCGTATCGTCATCCGAACCAACAGGCAGGAGTTGGTGATCCGGGCGCATACAACTATTTCCCCACTTTCGGTGTCTCTAGAGATCATTCAGCTCATGATGTGCCAGCAGATCTCAGTGGGGGGCTCGGTGGACCATGTGGTGGTCCAGGATCGTGGATGCCTGACTATCCGCATTCCGGCGGAGCTGCTGAGGATATGGGTCAGTATGTCACTGGTCCGGGTGCTGGCTCATCAGCTGACGGCGAGGATCGGTGTAATGTTTGCGGCTCGTATTTTGACGATTGGGAGTTCTCCTCGGCTACTGAGACTGACACGGGTTCTGTTGATGAGGGTATCAGGGCTTACAACACTGTCGAGGTTGACGGTGAAAGCCGATCTGATCCCAACTCGCGACAGAATGAGTTGTATCAGGACTACATCTTGGCTAGGCGCCGATGGAGGCGCTACACGGGGAAGCCTCCTCGGAGGTATCGCAAGGCGAACTTCCGTAACAATCGCTACATTGGAAAACTCCGAAATGGCCCGTACAGCCGAACCTACGCCGCTTTCTTACCCCCGAGTGCATTCGCAGGGGGAAAGGGTTCTGGAAAGAGCAAAGGCGGTAAAGGTTTTCAGGGTTTTCAGCGTAAAAATCCACGGGGTAAGGATGGTCAAATCCTGAAATGCTCGAAGTGCGGGTCGGAGGAGCATCTGTGGAGGAGGTGTCCACAGGTGGTATCCAAGGGATCAGGAAAAGGATCAGGTTTGGGACAAAGTGACGTTCATTTGGCTGACTTCTCTCGTCCTGTCCCCGCCTCTCTTGCGTTAACTTCACCACCAGCACCCCCTAGGGTTGAGACATGGCATGCCGGTGTCGCTTCAACTGCATTGCCAGGCGTTGCGTTCCATTATCATGTTGGAAGTCAAGGTGCATCTGCCTCGGTAGCTTCTGGCGCCAGTGGTAACAGGTACATGACGTCTCTTGAAGAGGATTTGGCAAGACTTGAGAGCGTGTCTCAAGTAAGTAGCAACCGCTCGCGAAAGTCCAGAAGGTCAGACTTAGGACCGGACAGTCCTCCGAGATGGAGTGCTGCCGAAACAGCACGATCTGCTGTTGAGTCTGCTGGTGCACAAGATGTCGACGACAACACTGTCGAGGCGCTACGTCCTGGTGTCCCGAGCCCAAAGCATCCTCCGCCGAATCGGCGTGGACCAAATGCAGATGAGATCGAGCGAAACCGCACCGTGGTTCAGTTGAACAGTCTGTTGATGGCCTGGTGGGAGGTGGATGACGACGGTTCGACGTATGATGCAGCGTCTGCTGCTGATGCCGGCAATGCCAAGGCCTACCATTTGCGCACCAGATTAGCCAACGACCGGCCGGGATTGTTGATCGATCCTGGAGCGCATGATAATTTGGTAGGCGAGCGCACTGCACAGCGTATGCAGGAGATTGTTGGTGTCAAGGCCAAGAGTTTGAAGATGAATCGTTCCCTCTCAGTGGAAGGAGTCGGCAAAGACTCTCAACAAGCTGATGTTGCTCAGCGGATGACTTTACGTCTTCGTAGTGACGACAATAAGCAAGTAGTTGGGAGTTTTACTGCGCCAGTTATCGCAGGTTCTGATTTACCGCCACTGTTGGGTTTGAAGAGTCTCAAGTCTTTCCGAGGAATCCTTGATATGGGCAACAACAAGCTGTATCTGCCTGGGCCAGCCGGCTGTGAGATACAGCGCTGTCCGGGAACTGTAGCGTACGACTTGAAAATGTCGGACAGCGGCCACTTGATTCTTCCGATAGATTCACATTTCAACGCGACGCCGACTGCGTCATCAAGTGACCAGAGTGGTCTGGATTTCCAAATGTCGTGCCGTCGTGGCGATCGCAGTGCGTCTCCTGAACGCACGCGGGTTCGCAGCGAGATGTGAGGCATGATGTTCTGCCGCAGCCTGAGAGCGATTGTCCGAATCCGAGCTATTCTTCTCGCGCTAATTCAGATGTGAGTAAGCCTTTGGCGTGGGTGATTTCAGATAAAGCCGGAGTGAGACAAAGGCTGTTGCAGCGATTTGGTTTTCTTACGAATAACATTCATCACGATCTTCATTCGAAAGGCCACCGTGACAGGCTGCTGCAAGCATTATCGATAGATAAGCCACGCTGTCTATGGGTAAGGTTGGCAGGTCCGTGCGCCGGCTCGGGCAACAAACATGATGCTGCGCGGACAGCTCACCTTTGCGAAATCATTGGTTCGCAGCAGTCTGCAGCGCGCATGGTTGTTGTAGAGGCTAATGCACGCAGCCAAGTATGGAACATGCAATCTGTTAAAGCTTTACTGCCAGGTCTTTGTGTCACTGAGCATTGTTGGTGTCAATATGAAGGTGTGCAGGAAGTGAGTTGTAGCACAGTTGTCAGACTAGCCACAAATTTCCGCATGCAGAGCAAGCTCTGCAAATGCACTTCCAATGTGCGACATGTTGATTCGAAGCAACTTCCTGGAAGTCGTGAAGATCGCTTTAGCAAGGTGTTGTCTGCTTTAGCTGCACAAGCGCTTGATCTGATGCGATCGGGGGTTGAGAAACGTGATTTGTATGAGTCTTCGGCATGCAGCAATCAGCACATACAACCCGAGTTGAGAGACTCCAAATCCGATGACACGCACGTTGAAGCGTTCTTGGACGGTGCCCCGTCGCTTGAAAAGTTACAGATCAATGTTTCATGTGATTCAGTGGTGCTTGGTGCCGAGCAAGCAGAGGCTTTTGCAAAGCAATGTCGATTGGATCGAGACTTCAGATGCTCAACATGTTACCGCATACTGCTTGCTACGCCTTTCCACGTCCGACATGGTGTTCGTGACATTGCAAGTACTGAGAATGGCAGTGCAGACTGCTATACTTTTGGGGCTTATGCCCATGGTTCTTTTGTTGGAATCAATAAGCACACACGCTCTCATCGAGAGTTGGTTCGATATGTAAATTCCTTTCTGAGTTCGCGTGAGCAGCGACTGCAATGGTCGTCTCTGAGCATAAACCATAACAGTCTGATGATGAAGCACAAGGATAATCATAATTTGAAGGGTTCCTTGAATCTTATTCTTTGTGTGGGTAGTTATGAACAAGGTGGTTTATGGTTAGAACTGACTGATTTGGCTGACACCTCTGCTGCGCAGTTTCGGAAATGTGGTGATCGCATGATTCCAGGTCGGATTCTTGATTGTCGCAACAAGGTTGTTGTGTTCAGTCCTCAGCAGAGGCACGGTCCCGAACCGTGGACCGGGGACCGTTGGAGTATCAATGCCTACACCAGTCGAGGACTGCCACATCTCAGCAGGGAAGAAGTTGACGAATTGAGGTCATTGAAGTTTCCACTGACACAAAACCCACAACCCTTAAAAGCTGAGGCGATAAGGAGGTGTCCCTCAGATGCGTTTTCTTGTGAAGAAAAGGCCTTTTGGGGACATTTAGAAAATCCCGAGTTGTTGGAGGGTCAGTTTCATGATGCAGATCCGCCTCTTCAAGGTCTAAGCAATGTTTATCCGACGGAAGGTGCCGAGAGGCGCAAGGCCAGGATCAAAGCTGGACACACAATCCAGCCAAAGAAATTTGTTGTTGAGCAAACATGCGACGATCTTGGTGATGATCTGAGCAGTCTTCATGAGGCAATAGAGTGCGTTGCATGGTCGCCTGAGCTATGTGGTGCCAGGTCAGAACATGTTACCGCTCTAGACAACTTTGAGTCTGATTTTAGAGCTTTTGTAGTTGGACGATATCGCTGGATGCACGGTTCATCAATGTCTGCGCCAATGTCCAGGCTCAAGAAGCGAGGTGTTTTCACCATGCAGCAATTTGTCGAAGCATCCGTTCCCAGTGATAGTGAAACCGTTGATATTTTGGAGATTTTTGGTGATGATGCCAGATCCTTGTGGTTAGTGGTCAAGAAACATGGCGTCAGTAACGGATGGAATTTTGACGTGACTGTGAGCCTTGATCTGTTTTCTAAAAGTGAAGTTCAGGCTTTCTGGTCATACCTTAAGAATAATAAGCCGAAGGTTGTCATCCTTTCGCCCCGGTGTCCCAGTCATCTTGGGCCATCGCCTCGATCTGGGACAGGATTGCAACAGCAGAGGCAAGTAGTGCAGTTTGTGTCTGCTGTTGCTGCACATCAGATGGCCTTAGGAAATCATTTTGTTGCAGAACAACCGGCTTGTAGTCCCATGTTCCTTAGCCATGAGTGGCAAAGTCAAGTGAAGACTGACGCCTTACACGAATGTCGTTTTGATCAGAGCGCGTTTGGACGAAAGACTAATGGGATCAGGATGGAGACCCATTTGGTTGGTTCATCAGAATTGTTGGTGAAAAGGTTCAGATGCAATATGCCGGTCAATTCTGAGAAGTTCGTTTGTCACTATGGTAACGCCGAGCATGCGTCAATGCAAGTGTGGCCAGCGTCCATATGTGATGTGATGGCTGAGGGCGTCGTTGATTGTCTTATGACTTACTTCAAGAGTGATGGGGTTTATGCCGCTGGTCAGGCCAAGCAATGTCCCGGATGCAAGTGGCATAAACGTAAGGATCATCCCTCTCACGATCGATCTGAGAATTGTAAATTTCGCACTGTAGCGCCTTCCAAATGGTCTTGTCCAGGCTGTCTTCGCAATAAGCCTCGAGCAGATTCAACTCACACGTTAGATGATGACTGTCAGTGGAACACCGCTCGTGTTATGCCTGAGGGTTTAGGTCGAGAGAGGAAAGGAGGACATCCAAGAGATGTGCGCGTGCCAACAGCAACTGAGCCTACCGCCGCTGTTGGTGGTGGTGGTTTGAGAAGTGTAGGTAGTCGCGAAGCGCATCCTGAGGATGTTCCAGCGCTACGTGCGCGACGCGCCAAGGCGTCAGGGTCTGATCCAGCAGTGCGTCGCCGCGATGCTGAGACACAGGTTAATGAAGGTGGTGGAGGTGTAGCCTCCGTCGGGCCAAACACTGCATCACGCGATCGTGCTCGCCCAGCTGCGCGTGAGGATGGTCATGAACCGGCAGTGCCTGTATCTAGAGCTCCTGTAGATGCGCCGGCGGCGGACGCAGATGATGCTGGTGCACCGCCGGAGGATCCTGACAGGTGGACGTCTTTTGATTTAGGTCGTGCGTTGCAAGATCTTCGCTCAATTCGTGAAGGAGTTGTGCGGCGTGCCTTGAGGAAGCTGCATATCAGATGGTTTCATGCTTCTGCACAACGCATGAAAACGTTACTTACTGCAGCTGGCGTTTCTCCCGAAATTATGGTACTTGTGCAACAAATTGTGGATACTTGTGATATCTGCCGGAACTGGACCCGGCCGGGGCCACGCACCGTGACTAGTGCCACCGTCACAACGCGTTTTAATGAAGAAATCCAAGTAGATCTTTTATTTTACAAGGAAAAGGTAATTTTGCACATGATCGATCGTACAACTCGTTTTACAGTAGCGCGCCGAATTGCCAGTAAACATCTTGATAATGTGGTGGAATGTATTATGAGTCACTGGGTGGGTTTGTTTGGGCCACCAAACAGAATCACCTCTGATCAAGAGGGAGCCCTCCAGTCACCAGAAGCTGCAGCACTGCTTGAATCGCGTGGAATCAAACTTCATCTGTTGCGCCAAGGAACAACATGCTTCCATCGTAGAAAGGCATCATGCCATACTTAGGCGGCAGTTGCACGTTCTTGAAGAACAGAGCACCTCCGAAGGACTGCGCATTGCTTTTGATGCCATTCTTGGTGAAGCAGTGTATGCAAAGAATGCCCTTTTTGCAGTCGGAGGCGCATCTCCCTTCGAAGCCGTGTTCGGGCGGACGCCACCGCTGTTGGGAGTTGTTGATGCCGAGATTGGCGATTCACCTGACGATCGTGACTCAGATCGTGTCAGACAGATCGCTATTCAGAGCATGGTTCAGGCAACGGCAGAGAGTAAGATGAAGCGCGCCGACCGCGGGAAGTCTAGGATGCCAGGCGAACTTCTAGACCTGCAGGTAGGTGATGCCGTTGAATTTTATCGTCGTGCGTCGACCAAAGATGCACATAGTTGGTTTGGGCCAGCTACAGTTACAGACTTGACTTCTGTACGCGACGGTCAGATTGGTGTGAAGTGGCAGGGCCGGCTGTTGATATGCCGAACACAAGACGTTCGAAGAGCGCTTTTGTTTTGGTGCTTTCTAGCTCAAATGCCATCTCAATCACCCGTCGCTTTCTTGTGTGAAGCAGCAGAGGACTTGCGTGGAGATGTCGTTAGAGTAGGTTGGTTTAGAGCCAATGACTCTTGGATTGCTTGTGAAGGTAACTCCAGATTCTCTAGAGTGCTGTTAGCGGGTCTTCACGTAGGTTCTTGTGCGCTGAATCTTGATGGGATCGTGTCTTTCCGTTTCGGTAATGGGGTCGCATCACTGCCAGCAGTTGCATGTGACGATTCTTTCCTTTTGTGGTGGACGCCAGGCGATGTGTCGTGTTGGTATCATGCGTTTATGCCTGGAAATCATCATGTGAACATGCAAAAGGTCACAGGTATGCAAGGTGCTGCCTTCGTGCAGTACTTCTGTGCTGATGCAGAGACTGTGGCGTCGTTGCGTCAAGTTGTTCACGATGTTCCGAATTTGGGAGGTCCGTATGAGCCTTCGTTGCCTCAGCTTCGAGACGTGACAGCACAGGTCACTCATCGGCAGAGGCGTCGACAACTAGAGCTTGCGGATCATCCGCAGAACGCAGAGTCGAGCCAAGTTGAGCGGTTCGATATTTTCACTCCTTCCGAAACAACTGGTGCCGAGGGTGCTGAGGAGGAGAGTGCCGATGTCATGCCAGAGGATACTGCACAACTATTCTCACGGTACGCAAGTCGCGCGCCGCAGGTTGTAAGTGACGAAGCTCCTGAATCGGCGTTTGTGCTCAACAAAGCCGAACTTGA